TTTAAGGATAAAACTTTTGCTATATGTGTGCATTCTATAGACTTCAATGGGACTTATACTACTACAGGAAGCACTTCACCACGACGTCACCACGTGACGTCTATAATTAGAAAATATGCCTTAATGAAAAAGTGAAAAGTTCAACACTACCCCGGGGATACTTAGTTTTAATTTGTAATAATAGTTATGTTAAACATCTCTGTACCATGAAAAGTACTGCTAGAATTCTACTGTCCTATCACAGAAATAATTATTCAACACTTTCTGACGAAACTTTCCCAAAAATGCATCAATTCCCGTAAACCATACGATTCTAGCAGCACTTTCCAAAAAAAAAAAAAAATAGAATAAGAACTTAGAAAGAAACAAAAATTAAGTTTCAAGGTATGCGGCGTATGTTGAACTTTTGCATCTTTTTAGTTACAAACGACAGAGGAAAGACTGATCGGCAAGTAAACGTCCCCCGTGCTTTAATTTTACGAAGAAAATGTAGAATAATATTACCATACCTTATTCGTAAACTTTATTCCCACATGAATCACACATGATATTCATTCTAAATGCTATTAAACTCCGATTTCTTGTGTTTGTTTACATGAATTCTCGTTACGTTTCACTTTCACTCTGCTACTGCATGATCAACAGTTATGACGTCACGGGTTTGGTATTTAACCCCTGTGATAACTACAGAGGCCCAGAAACGACAAAATTCCGTTTATATTATGCCTCTGCGTATTTCGATTCATTTTTACGACCTCAAATCAATCTTACATATCGATTTTAAGAAATTAATATCTCTAAACCTCAAGTCATAAAGCTAACTATGACGTCATATTATATAGGCAAGTTGACTATTGGTTGTAACCTTAACCTACCTGCGAATTTTTTTTTTCTGCAATGACTGCAATCTTAATTCTCAAAGTAACTATTTTTGTTCGTATCATTTCTTTGGGTCAGAATAAAGAATAAAGTAAATCTTTTATGTATTTTTTTCACTTATTCATATAAATGTAACGTTGAAATGGATACGTTAAGTATCTCGCCAATATGATCTTTACGTTATTGCTTGATGATCCGGCTTCATGCTGACAACTTTAAAACCTTTTTGAAATTGCTTAAGGTTATCAATTCATAACAAACTCGATTTTCTTCGGTAATACATGTATCCTTAATTTTATAACGCTGTTTTCCGCTTTCATTGAAAATGAAGGTATAATTTTCGGTCTGTCTGTCTGTCCGTTCGTCTTTAGTGCCGTCTATCTGTATATCTTAATTTCACACTTGCATATCATCAAGATATCTCAAGAAGCTTTTTAGCTATTTCAATGAAATTTTACAGAACAACTCTCCATGGACTGGAGAAAACCCGTTTCGATTTTCAGGGCAAAAGGTCAAACGTCATATGTTCACAATTTTTTCTGCGTTTAACACATTCTTATATACGCAATACTTCGGAAAGATATGAGCTTTTACAATGAAATTTTCACAACTCCTTTTGAACTGAAGATCATTTAGTTATTGATTTTTAAGTCAAAAAGTCAAAAAGCCCTAAGTTCACACTCTATGTTTGTGAGTAAAATGTGTAAAACATTCATTTTCAATTTCAAGCGATATATTTGGAAGCCCTGTCTGTCTCTGAATATGAATTTGGATCAGCATATGCTATTCTGTTTCGGGATTCACCGATTCTCTGATATTGCCTTATATGACATTTTTAAAAACTGGGTCTAGTTAAAAATAAAAGTGCTTCCGAATTATTATTTATCTAAAGAACGCTAGACTTCATCTTCAATATTATAATGTGTTCTTAGTACATTGAAGGAATCCATAAGGTTGCATTCGAGGATGTTATGTTTAATTTTTTTTCCTCATCGTAATTTATACGTTATTAATTCGTCATATATTCCTTATATCATATTGAAATTTGGATTAGAAACATGTAACAGAAGATGCGAATACGTCATAAAAGACCGCCTTGTAGTATTATTCAATTTTCTTTTTATTTCTGATTGTATGGGGGGGGGATAAAATACTTAGGCACGTTATCTCATCAATACATTAAGGTTCATTAACCCTCTGTTCACCCATATAAAATGTTGCTTGAACCTTCATGACTTTTCAAAAGAAATGTATTTCATTAGTAAAATAAAAACAATTATATCATAGCTTGCGGTGCTCAATTGGACATAAATTGGACTTCAATTGGCAAATCTATAAAGGAATAATAGACATTTATGGCATTTAGAGTTACCTCTCTTTTCAAAGTATCAATGTGCCTTAAGCGGGAAAAAGCTTACATAAAAAATGTAAAACGTTAGTTTGTTCCAAAAAGTCAGACTTTTGTTATTTACGTAATTCAGGTACAATAAATTATTAAAAAAAAAAAAAAAAAAAAAAAACATTTCTACAGCTGTTTAGTGTTTAAAATAGAATTAATCGGAGAGAATTGAATTTTAGTGCCATTCCTCATCATAATATAAAAAAGTACTTCCTTGTTTTTAGCGAAACATAAACTGTGATATTTGGAAATCAATTTTATTTATTGTAAACATAAATTCATGATTCGATTGTTATTTTTGTTATCAAATGAATATATATTTCAAGACGAGCAACCATTTTGGAGAATTTTTCGGAAAAAAATAAAAGGAATTTTGTGAAAAAGCTTCACTCCTAAAAGAACTGATATAATGTTAGTTAAAAATAAAAAGACGAATGGTCACTGATGTCTCCAAAAAGGGAATGTAGTCACATTCTTTTATTAATCATCTGTCTTGCTGGGCTGGAAAGTCAGGGACAAGACTGTGGAAGGTAACCTACTTTTTTGAAATAGAAAACAACAATCAAAAACATTTCAAAGTAAAAAAATAATACATCAATAATTGTTTCACTTTTAGTAAAAATGGTAACAAAATATGCTGCAGTGGTTTTTGGTACGAGCAAAAAACTAACCAATGTTTACGTAAGTTTGTGTAAATCGTTTAAGTGTTTAGTTTTCTGCTTCTAAAAAGAAAGGTTTAGAGAATTGGACTTATTAGTCAAATAATGAAAAATGAATTCTACAGAATGTCCAAACGGATACTATGGTGATAACTGCTCAGATGTCTGTCCATACCCCTTTTTTGGAGAGCTCTGCACGCAAACATGTAACTGTTCGGTACACTTATGTCATGTAGTTTGAGGATGCTTTACCGAAAGCTCAGGTAAGCAACTCATAATCAGAGTATTGATTAACACATGCATGTATTTTAATTTTTTTTTAGAAACAATCTAAGGTTATATAAGTTGAACTTTCTTTTTTTTTGTAAGTGGATATGTCTAATTAACACTGTTACAAATAATCAACCATAGCAAACATTAATTAAGTTAATTAAGATCAAAGTCCAAGAGTTCTATGTCATTTCCTAAATATCAGTAAAAGGAAGAAAAACATAGATATAATGTCTTTTTCAATTTATTTTAGCAAATAGTATACTTTGCAGAGGGTATGTTCTACTATTAGTATTTTTTGGAAGAATTTTTTCCCATTTTGTATACTTAACATGCAAAAAACATTAATTTTATTCTTTATCGAGTGCACTTTTTCACATTTTTTAGAACCTCCGGTGTTACATGCTGCAGTAATTACTGGTACAATAAAGAGAGTCATGAATGTGTTGGTAAAGATAATTTTCAACGTTTACTCTGTTATTTTTTGTAAATTCTTTTTCAAGTTTCTAAAATGTAATTATATGTTTTAATTATTTTGTTAATGTTTCTTTTTTGCGATAGTTGCACAAGTCTTTTTATAGAACACTTTATTTCATTTTATCAAGGCATCCTCTACATACATGTACATGTATACATCACTTATATCTTTCAATCTTGAAATATATCAATTGAATATTCATCTAATTATTTGCATCTTTACCTGAACTACTTTTTTAAAAAAATTATTTTAAGAAATCCGCGAAAAGGTTTTTTTTACCTAACCTAATTGATTTAAATTTAGAATGTAATCCAGGATACTTTGGTACAAATTGTATGGAAATATGTCCTTTCCCATTTTATGGCATACTGTGTAAACAGAGTTGCAACTGTTCGGAGGGTGACTGTAATTATGAGACAGGATGTACATTACCAGATGCCAAACCTAACGGTACGAATTGTTGTTTTTACAGGCATACTGACGCGATATAAATGTCAATTTTATAAACTAATGCTTATTCAATTTTGAACAAATGAGACCTGTTTTACTTGATGTATTTGAAATTCTGCGAATTTAAGTTATATCTTGATGAAAATTATTTTTTAAGCAAAAATTTATCTTTTTTGTATACAAACACAGAAAACATCACACAAGTACACTCACGTGGCGGCAAAATCAATGATTTAGGACAACATCGTATTTATTTTCGCATTGGCGCAATTGGTATTATAGTTTTTCTAACAGTTTTTGTTATACTCTTCGCTATTATCGAATTTTACCTAAGGAGACGAGGACGTTCGGATGAACAAATTACTTGTGCTGAAAATGAAGCAACATATCAGGAGATAACATTACAATAAAAAAATGGGGGTCTTTTACTCCCAGTACATATCCACTCTCTACATGAACCATCACATAACCCACCAGGGATATTTATGAATAAACAAAATGAGAGCACTGAACTGCAGACGTATAATTATGAATCATCACCAAAATGAAAATATTTAATGGACAAAGATGTGTACTTCATATTTTATAAACAGTTCAGCGAAAACGTCAATTGTCAAACATTTACAATATACGCTCTGAAAACTGGAATCTCAGAAAAAACGAAATTCACTAGGAAGTAGAAGAAAAAAACATGATCATTGGAAGAAAAAATCAATATGTATCAATAACCATTTTGACTGAGGCTCGGACTTCCAAAGTATTGAAACTTGTTGTAGTGGATGCCTTTAAAAGAAATAAGGAACAGTACACGAAACATGACTATGTAGAATTTAATTTTAAAAGAAACAAATATCATGTTATTATTGAATAGATTCTGTTGATGAGTAATCAATACAGTTATGTTATTTTTAATTTAAGTCAAAAATGGGGAAGTTTTTGTATATATATATGATTTTTTACAAGGAAATTATGATCCCAAATTCCGGAAATTGTTGAAGAGATTGTCAAGGAAACAAAATTGCATGTTCATACATGTAACTGGTGCATATGCGAAAACTGCTTGTATAGATCAGATTTGGTGAGAATGATATCGAAACGAATGCATAAACTTAAGAGAAGTATTACTATGTAAAGGAAGTTCATTTTCGTTTTCTACAACAAAAGTGATGGGTCATTGATAATTATTTTCAGATGTATAATACCGTATCATTAGATATAAAGTGCAGAAGAAAAGTGAACATAGTTATGTTGCAAAATGCGTTTTATCTTCGTGGTATTAGGATTGATATTTTTGCATTATGAAGATTATGTTGCTTCATACATGAAGTTGGGTTGGTTTTTTTCCTGTTAATTTACAATCTATGTATCTACATGAATCTCTTCTTTTTATATTTATTTTTTTGCACATCATTTACTCATATTTTAAAAAAACTTTCATTTACTTTTGTATATGGAATCTATTGTAGAGTTCACAAACTTTTTTAAAGAAATAAGCAAATCGTTGCATTTAGTGTTAGTTGTCTAGCTGTTTTGTCTAGATGTAATTTTTCAATAAAATAATAAAGATGAGAATGCTTTGTTAGTTAATACAGATTCATAGAAGTTATTTTAAAACTTTACAAACTTAATGCTTGTAGTTAACATGTACATCATACGTTTTTATATTATATTTGTTCTGCAATAATGGAGATTTACATTAATAAAACAAACGAAAACCTTTGTATACAGCTCAACGCACTTTTTAAAGTCACATGGTTTTTCGCACAAATTAAGGTCACATTTTTCTTGCAGTAAAACTTAAAATTATGAAGCTTCAGTACTAGACATAACCCTTATATTATAAAATATTTCATGATAAAGGTGCATATTCTCTAAAATTATTATCTTAAGTTTTTTTACAACTCAATGTTTTAGAGAAATTTGTTTATACATATGGATGATGTTACAGTTGTATGATTCTGCCATAGATATTCAGAAATTAATTAATCGAATTTTCCTTGATACCATTTAGTTGAAATGTTCAAATTGACTTCTTACAGATGAGTATTTTACTAAGTATTTTGCATACTTTTTGTACTTGTTTTGGTTTTGTCGAAATGCGGCGCTGAAAAATGGCAAAACTACATAGAGAAACGATGTCAAAGGATTGGATAATAAAGTAAAGTGTTAATATTGAAAAGAAAATTCTTTTACCTTTTATGGTATGAAACTTTAATTTTTTTCGTTTGAAGGTATCCTTCATGATGCAAGATTTCAGAAAGTTAATCAGAAAAAATACCAACTTTTTAACATGGAAGCAGTCGAACAGATGAAAATTATTTCTATAATCTTGCGCCTTAGTGTCACATTAATGTACCGAAATACAGAAGTTACATGAACTGCACTGTTTCTGTGACCAGGCAAGGCAAATGTATGCTTTAAAACGAACGGATACAAAGACGGCTGCATTTGACGAGAAACCACGAAAAAATCATTTGGAAACTGTCATAATCTATCACCTAAGAGCTTGTAGATAAATTCTACAAATTATTATGTTTGAATTATGTTTAAACTAATGGAATACGATAAAAATGTTGTTATACATTACTTTTAAAATATAAATTGTTGTAACGTTATGCAACTTTTGCATTAAAACAATGTGACCTTAATTTGTGCGAAAAATCATGTAAGTTTAAAAAGTACATTGAGCTGTACTTGTACATGTACAAAAATATACAAAAATTCAAAAAAATAAATTTGCTTGCTTTTAAGATAGGCAATAGTTTATTAACACGAGTGTAGACAATGTGTATCAAACAATACAAAATTTTTAAATTATGATTAGTATTTTTTGTCATGTGCTTGAAAAATGATTAAAGAGTGCTTGACACATTATAAACATATGGAAAACAGCAATAACTTTGGAATTTCAATGCAGTATGCTAAGGCGCAAATATTTTATATGTTCATTGTGCCATTTTGTATGGTTTCCAACTAAATAAAAATGATAAAGTATACTTTTTGTAAGTTTTCAACCATAGTTTTTTTAACAGTCTGCTATAGCAACCATTACAAAATGTAGATTGTCTTAGATCTTGGCATCTTTTCGAACAAAAGTTCACTTCGACTGAAAAGAAAACAGAGTAAATTATCCTTAACTAACCTTAACTTATATCAAATTATTACTCGAATTCAACAACGATAAGAAGTTCTTTACCTGTTATGAACATTGAGCAAAATATCTAGATTTATGTGTTTACTTGCAAGTCTGTATTTGCCCTCAGGCGAAATGCCGAGTTACATATATGTAATTCAATGCATCAAGGCATTATTTCAAGAAAGAAAATTTCAAAAATGCTTATCCCTAAAGGTTATAACTATTGTCAAAAAATACATAATATGCATCAGCAGTTTAAGTTTCGTGGGCAATGGTTACAAAAATGTACCCTTATAATGATAAGGATAATGCAGATCCTGTTAGTATTTTCATATATTAATGTATTTTTTGAAATGCATATGAATATACGTTAAATTTTGGATAATATGATAAACGTTTATGGATACAGTAGTAATGGATTGAAGAGCCCAATAAGAAATAATTCATGCGGACAGTTTGTAATATGAATAGGTTTTCTTAGAAAATAATGGAGATAAATTTAGGTGATGCTATTATTTAAACATACTTTTGCTTTACAGCGGTAACGCATTTTCAATCTTCTCTTTTTCCCTGTATTTGAAAAATGTATTTTTAAATTTTAGAACAAATGTGTAATTGAATAGTGTAGTTTAGGTCAAATATAAAAAAGGCTACGCATTCTTACTTTTTTAAATCCTGTTCGTGTTATTCTAATGAACAAATCCAAATAAAAAAAATATTTCACTCACTCATTTTTAATTCTTTGCAAAAATAACAGGATTGGGCCTATAAAATTAAAAAAAATACATGTTTTACAATCAACGAATTAATTATAATGAATATATATATATATATATATATATATATATATATATATATATATATATATATATATATATATATATATATATATATATATATAGCACTAAAAATGACCAACGACACGAACAATAAAAATTGTCAAATTTTCGGGACGCCCTGTCCCTTCCTCAGGACAAAGAAAAAAGTTTAAAAAGTCATAAGAACAAAGGAAAAAGAGAAACAAACACAACTAGCACTACTACTAAACTACTAAACACTAGATATTTACATACTTAATTACATGTTGAATTGGAAATTTTTAAGAACACTAATAAAGAAAGAAATCCAGACCGCTATGAAATGCGTCCGGTCTATCGGGTATACTCGGGTGAAGTGCGATTTACATAATTGAACGAATTAATTATGCTAATTAATTACGACAATCAGTAAATCGTACATTGTTTCATTCTCTCAAAATGGCGTAACTTTACTTAATAAAGAATAATGAAAGAAAAATCATATAATAGGGATATTTAAACATATGAATTGTGATCAATTATAAATTTTGAAATATATTATCGGGAAAAAATAATTAACAAAGGCGTAAGCAATACATAGTAATGTGGTTGTTCGAGAGTTGGTGGCACAAATTAACTGTAGAGTTTACACTAAATTGAGAGAATAATTTTGTTTAGTATTATCAGGAATTGGGTCTAATTTACGTTCATTCTGGTGAAGTCATTCAATTTGTTAATACCATTTGGGCGGAATGACTTCAATCTGTGCATCCAGAACTTTTCTTTGCTTTTCCTCTGAGCATCTGTCCATCTTGGGTTATGGTCAATCACCACTACTGTCATGTCCTCCCATTTGTGACCCTCAAGGTTGAAATGTTCCCCAACAGGTTCATTGAGTTTTTTGGTCCTAATGGTCGAACGGTGGTTATTGACTCTCCTACGGAGATCTCCTGTTTCACCAATATACTGTTTGGAGCAAACTTTGCAACTGATGAGATAAATGCAGTTGTCAGTATGACAGGACAAATTCCCTAGTATTTTGTAGCTGCGGCCTGTAACAGGGCTGTTAAAACTGTCTGTGCCAGTGCTGTGCTTACAAAGAAGACATCTCCTGTCAAAGCAAGTTTTAAAGCCCCCGTTAGGTAATGGGTTGTCCAGTCCGGTTCTTACTACCATGTCCTTTAGATTCCTTGGTCGTCTGCAGCCAATGGGGGTTCCTTAAAGACCTCTGCCATTCGTTTGTTTGAATGGAGAATTGCTAGGTTCTTTTGAAGGATACCGCTAAGGTTCTTAAGGACGGGATGGTATGTGGTTACCAGAGGGACCCTGTCGCTATTGTCTTTTTCCTTGTAGCGTAATAGGTTTTGCCTGTCATGTTCCGCCATTTCATCAATAGCTGTTTGTACGGTGCGGGCATTGTAGCCTCTTCTGCATAAGTGGGACTTAAGAAGACCACTTTGCTCCTGATATAAGGCAGGGGACGAACAGATGCGTCGAATTCTGGTGGCTAGACCCTTAGGCACTCCCTTAAAAGTGTGTGGGGGATGACAGCTAGTGGGCATAAGATATAGGTGGGAGTCTGTGGGTTTGGTGTGGAGACGGAATTCGATTTCACCATCAATCAGGGTAGACGTAGTATCTAGGAATACGTTTTTCGAATTAGATACGTCTACTGTAAATTTGATCGACTGATGAAAGGTGTTGGCAAACGTAATGAATGCCTCGAGGTTCTCGCGACAATCCACCCACTTCATCTCTATATCGTCAATGAAACGCAACAAGCTATGAGGCCTAAATGGTGCTTGAAGTAGCAAGTTGCGTTCCAGTCTGCCCATGAAGACATTGGCATAAGACGGTGCCATTTTCGTACCCATAGCAGTGCCATTAACTTGCAGGTAATGTTCTCCATTAAACATTAAGTTGTTGAACTTGAGAACATGTTCAAGGAGCTTAGCAAGGGACTCGGTAGAAGGAACTTGTATGGATCT